GGTGTTATACAAACTATAATAGTATACGAGAGTGTTTTCAAAATTTATGTCAGCAATGACAATTTCAAAAAACCAAAAATGAATGTGGAGCGAAATCTTAAACTGAAAAGGATTTATGCAGTTAATAAAATTATTATTGAAAAACATTTTTTTATAGACCTAAATGAACACGATGCTGACCATGAAGCTGTTACCGAAGACATACATTGCACACAACTAATAAAAATGTTAGCAAATGACTTTTTTACAATCAGACTGCAAAGATATGGCCAATTATATACAGAAAAATTGGTCTATATGATTGGTCTATGTCAACAATCAAATTAATTAATTTTATTCAAAGGTTTATAGCATAAATATATATATATATATATATATATATATATATATATATATATATATATATATATATATATATATATATATATATACATATATATGAAAATTAAATTAAGTTTTATTTATTGTTACTTTTCTTGATTTGTTGTTTATATTGAAAAACTTGCTTTTCAAAAAAAAGATATTCTTTATATACCTGAATACCTATGGAGCTTTTTTTGTGTTGAAAACCTTACTAGATTATAACATAATATTGAATTAAATTTATTTAATTGACGGTAAATCATTTATAGAAAAAAGTAATTATGATTTTTATGATAACAAGAAGTATTTAACCATAAATAAAATTCTAACATTTCTAGAAGGAACCTCTAAGTTGTGTGACACAGAACTTAGTTAATAGTCAAGACAGTTTTATAAAATGTTTCATTACAAGTTTTAACTCTGTTTACCTTGCAGTTATGTTATAAAACCTCCTAGCATTACTGCAGAGGGTAATTAATGACTAACAGGTGCATAATATGTTAATAGATTAAAGATTAAAATCCAACTAAATCTAAGATTTTAGCTGAATGTTAAATTTTAAAATCATTCAAACTTAAATTTTAAAATAAAAAAAAAATAAAATAAGTATGATTTTGAAATGTTTAAAAAAACAATGCATGTTTACATAATTATTAAATTTTAAATCAAAATAACATCACATTTTTCAGATATCTATGTATCGATTTTTTATTGATTACATTTTTAAACAATTTTAAGCTTCATATTTGTTTTGTTTTGATTAATAGCGTAAAGATTTTGCCCCCCCATAATGGCTGATTTTTGCTTCACTTTTTCTTATACCGATTTACGGCAGTTAGACATCTAGTTATTCTTAATATGTCATTGGTTTCGTATAAATGCGATACAAAACAAAATGATATTTTTTGTTTCGTAAAAACGGAACGAAACGAATACTCACATTATTTACCGTTTCATACCAAACTTCCGAGAGAATACGAGCAGACGCAGACCCTTAATCAGTTATCCAAGTTTTTTTTTTTTTTTTTCAGCTTACAAAGTTAGTCGTTTTACAATACAATAAACTATTAAAATTACTTTACAAATATATATATATATATACAAATCGTGATAACAGTGTAAACTAGGTTTCCAAAAGAAGATCACTGAGATCTTATCATCGGAACCTTAAAAAACATTTATAAACAATATAATTTCCGAATACCTTGTAAAGTATACGTTACAGTAAAGTAAAATATATATATAGAACTTTTACATTAGCAAATCTTTAAATATAAATAGTTGTTAACAACAAAACTTTAGGGAAAAAATGATAAAAATTTAAATAATAGAAAAATTAATTAATAGTACTCTAAAATGTTATCGAGGGAAAAATTAGATTTTTAATTTTGTTTTTAAAAAGACAAAAAGAATTTGGTCGATCAAAATCAACATTAGGTAAAACAAGTTTATTCCATAGGTGCGGTGCACGATAGGCAAGACAAAATTGATTAAAATTTGTTTGACAGAAAGGTTTGTTAAAAAAATTTTTTCTTTTAAGAGTGTATTTGTTGCTGGGTTTTAAGCTAAAAAAATCTTTAAAGACAGGGGGGGGGGATAGATTGTTTTTCCACATACAAACAAAGCATAAAATTTTTAAAACGTTGAGTTCAAATACATTTAAAATTTTCATCTCAATAAGAGAATAACGATCAGCAAAGTTAATTATGCGAATTGCTCGTTTCTGACAGCGATAAAGACGAAGTAATTTACTTTTTTCAGTACTTCCCCAGGCAATATTAGCGTAGTTTATGTAGCAGTGAATAAATGAGAAATAAAGTTGCCTTAAGTGTTTCTTATTGAGATAAGTTCGAGCTTTGTACAAAACTCCAATGTTTTTAGAGACTTTAGTGCATATATAGTTAATATGTTGATTCCAACTAATGTTCTCATGGAGATAAACACCTAAAAATTTAATAACGGAGTCTCTTTTTATTTCAATTTCATCAATTAAGATTGGAGGCAAGTTTAAGGGTAAAAATTTTTTTTTCCTATTCGAATGAAAAAGTGTCCATTTAGTTTTGTCAGTATTTAAAGTTAATTTGTTGGATTTAAACCAGTGGGATAAAAGTTTAAGTTCTTTATTCACTGTGGCAAAAAAAAAAACTCATTCTGGAAACGTCATTATTATCCGCATACTTTAGTATAAATTATTACAAGAGATAATAATAATAGTGAAGTCGAGTGAAGTGCCTATCACTAGCGTACGCTTCCTTATTTACCCCCAAAATAAAGGGGAATGATTTTCTGATTACTTTTATTATTACCAGGGCCAGCGCAAGTAAGTGTCACGTGGGGGAGGGGGGGATGTAAAAACAAGTTTTGCCGAATAAAAAAACAAAAAACAAAAGCCTATTTTTTTAAAAATTTGCCGACTCCCTTTACGATACTTGCCAACTGACTGTCTAAGTTTACCGACTAAATTGTCGAAAGGGTCTACATTTGCCGACTAACTAGTCAAAAAGGGTCAAATTAGCCGACTAAATCAACGGAAAAATTATTGATGGGTGCTTGCACATCTCCCACACACCCCCATTGCGCCGGCCTTGATTATTACCAATTTAAACTAAATTTATATTTTAAATCACATTTCAAATTTCATCAATTACTTTAAATTGTTCAAAAGTTATCACTATGTAAAGTTTACAGTCCCCTCGAAACGAAGATAATATTTAAACATTAAAAAAACTGTCGAATTCTTTGGGAGTATTCATAAGTAGATGTAAATAAATATATACTATATCTATATAAAGTGTCTATATAAACTATATTATTTCATATACTAGTAATTAGTAATAGACTATGAATCAGTGGCGCCAATTGCATTTTCGGTCTTCGAGAAAGCTAACTTCAAGGCATGGAGCAAACTCCAAACATTTATATGTTTATACTTATGTTAAATAAGGATGCTCTGAAAAAAATTGCAATGATTGGAGCTTGGGAACTAAAAAAGCTTAAAATTTTGGCCCCCCCTGCCCCAAACGTAAGAGCAACAAGTTAATGAAATATTTTTTGTACTATTTTCAACTAGAATTATATGCATCGATAAATTTTAAGTTTCATAGTAAAAAAAATTAGCGTTTAAAACTTATGAAAATATAAAGTTTAAACCCCCCTCAATTTGAGGGGGTTACAAATTTTATATGGTCATTTTTTTTGAACGCTTAGAGATAATAATATGAAACTTAAAATTTATTGATGAATATAAGTCTAGTTGAAAATAGTACAAAAATTATTTCATAAACTTGTTGCTTTCACGTTTGGGGCAGGAGGGCCCAAACTTTTAGGGCTTTTTTGTTCCCAAGCTCCAATCATCACAGTTTTTTGCAAAGCATTCTTATTTGACATAAATATAGACATATAAATGTTTGGAGTTTGCTACATGTCTGGAAGTTAGCTATCTCAAAGACCAAAATATTCAATTGGCACTATCCGGATTCATTGTATGAATCGGGTTGTCCCAAATTTAAACACGAAATTTTATTTTTGGTAACATATATTATAAACTATTTGTTTTTGAACTGTCAACGTGATCGTGACGTCCTCGATCAATTTTATACATTATATATCATTTATTTTTAAACTGTCAATGTGATCGTAACGTCCACGATCAAAAACATTAAATTGACGCCACTCACGATCAAAATGTCATCATTGCAAAATGAAAAGTAAACATTTGCTAATGCCATGTGACATTTTAATATAAAGACTCTTGGCTCTAAGAACATATTAGTTCAAGCAACTGAGCACAGTGGTTAGTAATGTTCTTTAATATCAAATAATGTCATGAAAATAATTAACTTTAAAGTCTAAAAGAAATGAAGTAATTATTACCAAAAGTGAAACAAATAATTCTATTGTTTAACGTTCCGAGTGCTTAAGGTTCTATTTATAACTTTTTTGTTTAAATCTTTATCATTTGTTTGTATTCATTTTCAAACTTAATAAAATTAGTGGAACATATATATATATATATATATATATATATAATATATATATATATATATATATATATATATATATATATATATATATATATATATATATATATATATATATATATATATATATATATATATATATATATATAAACATATATAAAACATATATATATATATATATATATATATATATATATATATATATATATATATATATATATTTTTATTTTTTTTTATTTTTTTATTTTACATTTGTTGGTCGTATTACAACTATATATTGCCAAGAAAAAAATAAAATAAAAATAATGACAATAATAATAAACTTTCACAAATTTAAAATAAGGTATCTGAAAGAAGATCAAAGGATCTTGTCGTCAGAACCTTAAATAAGTTCAAGCAAGCATTAACAGTATCAAATTTTTACAAATTTCATATATATATAATCCAAATATATATTTTATAATCCAAAGAGAGATCACGCGGATCTACTCACCAATATTTTATATAAACGTATACGTGAAGTAAAGAATATAAAATCAACAAAATAAGTAAGAATAAACTTTTTATAATTATAAATAAGAAAAGGCAAAGTTATTAATTTATATTATTAATAATAACATAATACGTCTTTTAATGAAAAAATTAAGGTTTTTAATTTACTTTTAAAAAAACGAAAAGTAATGGGTAGTTCGAAATCAAAATTGGGCAAAACAATTTTATTCCAAAGGTGTGGTGCCCGATAGACAATACAAAATTGATTAAAGTTCGTTTGACAGAAAGGTTCATTTAAAAAATCAGTATTTCTCAAATTGTATTTGTTGATGGGTTTCGGAGTAAAAATATCTTTGAAGACAGATTGAGACAAGCCATTATTCCACATGTATACAAAGCATAAAACATTATATATATTTAGCTCGTATATATTTAAAATTCTCATTTCAATAAAATAATGTTTTGCGTGAGAAAAGCGATTTGCAAAGCAGATTAAACGGATAGCATGTTTCTGACGGCGATAAAGACGTTGCAACTTACTTTTTTCTGTACTACCCCAGGCGATATTAGCATAATTTAAATAACTGTGTATAAATGAATAATAAAGTTTGATTAAAATTTTCTTATTGAGGTAGATTCGTGCTTTATATAAAACTCCTATGTTTTTTGAAATTTTAGTGCTTATGTAGTCGATATGATGATTCCAAGTGATGTTTTCATCAAGGTAAACACCTAAAATTTTTGTTACGGAATCCCTTTTTATTTCATTTAGATCAATAAAAATTTTAGGTAAGTTTAATGGCAAATATCGTTTTTTGGAAAGCGAATGGAATAAGGTTCACTTTGTTTTATTAGAATTTAGAGTTAACTTATTACATTTAAACCAACTCGATACATGTATAAGCTCTTTGTTCATTGTTTTAAAAAGTTCAAAGATATCACTGTTAGAAAGGAATAAGTTAGTATCATCTGCAAACATAATACTTGTTAGTTTAGAGGCTTTATTTAAATCATTAATATAAATTAGGAAAAGGAGTGGACCAAGAATTGAGCCTTGTGGGACTCCACATGTTATAGAAAGACAATTGGTGTGATAACCGTCATTACTTGGAACAAATTGTTTACGATTTGACAAATAGCTTTCAAACCATTTTAAAACTTTATTTTTTATTCCATAGTGTTTAAGTTTATGGATTAGAATTTGGTGGTCAACCGTATCAAAAGCTTTTGATAGATCAATAAAAAGTCCTAGAGTATATTGTGATTTTTCAAATGATTTTGAGATTTCCCGTACAAATTGGATAATTGCATGTTCAGTTGAGCTATCCTTTTTAAAACTGAATTGATTAATGTTAAGTAATTTATTAACATGAAAATATTTGTATACTCTGTTATATATAATTCTTTCTAAAATTTTTGAAAAGGTGAAAAGAACAGAAATAGGGCGATAGTTACTTATAATTAATTTGTCCCCTTCTTTAAAAATAGGAATAATTTTGGCAATTTTTAACAGTTCGGGGAAAACACCTTGATGGATAGAAGCTTTAAAAACTTTAAAAAGAACAACTTTTAGCTGTTCAAAACAATCTATAATAACGTTTCCATTTATTTGATCTGCTCCAATTGCTTTATTTTTTTTAAAGATTTGAAGGCTCTTTCAAACTCTTCAAACAATAATTCAGAAGACAACTCAACTGAACCAATGCAATTATCAATGGGTACTAGAAAATCAGTAAATAAAGATTTGGTCTTTGGGATTTTTTTAGAAAGTGTTGGACCTATATCGATAAAAAATTTGTTAAATTCTTGAGCTATAGTTCTTGGTTCGTATAAACTTTTGTTATCGACTCTAACCATTTGTGGCAGAAAACCTGAGCTTGATTTTTGTTTTCCAATAATTTCATTCATTATTTGCCATGTCATTTTTAAATGTATTGAGTAATTGGGAGTAATAATTTTTTTTGAGATTTTTGCGAATTTTTTCAAATAGATTTTTGTAGTCCTTGTAAATTTTTTCGTTTTTAGGTGTTTTTGTTTTCAAAAAATTTATATACAGTTTTTGCTTAATTTTGGACGATTTTAAAGCCCTTAGTGATCCAGGGTGTATTATATATATATATATATATATATATATATATATATATATATATATATATATATATATATATATATATATATATATATATATATATATATATATATATATATATATATATATATATATATATATATATATATATATATATGTATGATGAACATTTGACCTCTTAGCTGGTTTTTATTAATTTACAAATGGTTTTTTACCAAAAACATTTAAATTTTTTTATCATTAGAAGTATGATCTTAAACCAACAAATTAAAAAGATAATGTATATAAAATATTGATTTTTGTTAAATCTACCACCGTTTTTAAAGTAAGCCTCAAAGTGGTCGAATGTACCCCACTGGTGGGATATATTCGACCACCTAGAGGGGTACTTTCAAACATATCATTATTAGCAAAATAATAAGCAGATAAGCTTTCTTTCTTATAAATGTTTTATTGTACAATAAAAACTTTCTACAAAATATTTAAAAACAAATAGTAATAGCTGTTTTCAACAAGATTTGTGAAGTTATATCAAAATAAAAATTACGTTGCCTTTTTTTCCGTCTTTGTTGGAGTCGCAGACTTTAAAATTGTTTTTTTTCAGGTTGAGAACTTTTCTTTTTTTTTATAATTTTTTCCCAATGAAGTTTTTCAATCTTTTCCTTTTCAGGAGTGTTAGCATATATCGTTGACTTGATTTTCTCTTTATTTATGTTGTATTTGAGATGCTTTAGGCAAGAGCCGCACATGTTCTGGAATCAGTTTTTAAATGTTAGAGTTATCCTAATAGTTACAGGAGAAATGCGTTTCATTGGTATATAAGAATAGTAAAGTATTTTGTAATGATGTACCTATTACCCCTAGACTTTCACTTGGTTCTACCATTAGAGTTCTATTTGTGACATATCTGGGCATGAAATCGTTTTGCAACTTGTGGTTCAGACAGTGAATTATTAAAAATACAAGTAATTTTTTCTAATACCACATTTTTATTTCTTTTATTTCTATATGTTTTCGTTATATACTTTCGAGGCATCTAAGAGAAATAAATTTTTGTAACATTTTCAAGCACCGGTTGAATATTCCCCAGCTAGGTAGGTCGAATGTACCCCACACGTGTTATATATAAACAAACGCTGTTAAAGGCCAAAATCAATTTTTTAAAGTAAACCAAACAAAGGTTTTTAACTCAAGATATCATTAAACAATAAACAACAAAAAAGTTTTGGAGCTTAAAATTGGAAAAGTGATTCTCTGCGGGTTATTTAAAGCATAAAAAATTACTTTTTGCATCAATTATTAGATTTTTTTCTATATAAGTACTAATACTAATAAAGATGTATCGATACTTATTTCCAGCGATAGCTTATTAGCATACAAAACATGGATAAAAATTTTAAGTGGTAGTTTTTATCATGTTGGGAAAAATTTGAAAAGGTTGAATGTTCCCCATATATATATATATATATATATATATATATATATATATATATATATATATATATATATATATATATATATATATATATATATATATATATATATATATATATATATATATATATATATATATATATATATATATATATATATATATATATATATATATATATATATATATATATATATATATATATATATTAGTCAAGATAAATATTGATAAAATACTAGTGAAACATAATTTAAAAAATTACTACAAGTAGAATTATAGTTTCTAATACTATTAATTTTGTTTGTTTTCAAATCATTTCAATCAATTTTTTTTATTTTCAAATCAGTTAAATCAGGTTTTAAAGTAGCGATTACAATTTCTAATTCTAAATAAACTTATTTGTTAGAGATGTCTGAAAGTGTGCGGATTTTTTTAATTTTATGCCTTTAATTCAAATAATTCTGAGCAAAGGTTGTTTAGATCAATAGAAAATTACGTGTTACGCTATGTAAATTTTATGAACAGTTTTACCTACGCGTTAATCCATTCATGTTATGCCAAAACTTTTCAATTCCATTATTTAAAGAGTATTATAAAAAAGTTTATGTTGAAATCATTAAGCAGTAATTGTTACGAAAAAACTTTTTCACCATTTTTCACTGCGATCGTGAAACGTATATTTTTTCCAGATAAAAAAACAGAAAATAAATAAATTTTTTTCTACTTTTTAAAAATCTTTAATTTAAATTCATTTTATTATATTCAAATTGAATTTAATACTAGATGTTAATAAATTTAAATTTATTTTATTAAAATTTAATTTAAATAAAAAAAATTTTGAACGCTTTGAAAGTTTTAATGTTTTATAAATTTTTTTTATTAACTTTTAAAATTTCCAAACATGTTAAAATAAATACTTTTTTTAAAATATAATTTTAGTCTTATATTCGTTTTATATTTGATTTTTATTATTATTATTATTATTATTATTATTATTATTATTATTATTTGTTTATTACTATTTATTTTTTATAGTTTTGAATCAACAATTTATTATAATTTTATATTATACAATTTATATTAACAATTTATCATAATAATATAAATTTTTTATAATCCTGTTACAAAAGAACAAATATACGAAAGTACCTAATATTTATAACTGTATATAAATGTATTGTTGAATAAGCCATAATCAAGCCTGTTGGCAAAATTCATTTAGGCATTTTTTTAAGTCAACTTTCTGTAATAATTCTATTAAAAAATAATTTTTTAGTTTTGAAATAATTTTTTTATTGTCATTAAGTATTTAAAATGAACACCATATAAAAATGATTAGCTAGTTTATAAGTGGTACGCAAAACCAAAATGTTAAAAACAAATTGTTGATTTTATTTTTTTAATGAACCTTGAGAAATTTACGCTCAAACAATTGCCCTCTCATTAAAAAAAAAAATGATTGTGAAAAAGCAGCCATAAGATGATAATGTTGTGTCATAAATTTAAACACATTCACTTCCAACAAATGTGATTTGTTGGAAGTGAAAGTGTTTAAATTTATGACTAAAAAAACTTTCATTACTATGCGGTACTTCAAAAACACTAGTGTATTTTAACTTTGACCGATTTAAATATTTCTTTTCTGGAAGCAATTGGTTGCATCAGTCCAGTGTCAATTCTTTCTAAACAAAAAGCTAATCTTCTTCATCAGATGAAGTCTGTTCAACATCTAATTCGTTCTTGCTCAAATAATACTTAAAATGAATATGATCAAGAAATCTATAGAAATCTTATAGACAAAGAAATGTATAGAAATCTTAGAGACAAAGTTTATTTTATAACCATTAAAGTTGGTCTAGATTACAAGATTTTGTAATCTCTAAAAATTTTATACAGAAGTTTTCATGTGTTTATTGAAGTATTTGATTATTTATTTTAATTTTCAAGAATTGATTGGTTCTTTACTCATTATGAGAATATAGTATCTGTTATTTTAGAGATAAAAATGCTCTGGGGTTAATGGAGAAGTTTTAATGTTAATTTTGAGTGTTTGAATGCTGGAAATCAGAGGCAAATAAGCAAACTTAAGGAAAAAAATTAAGAAAATAAAAGCAAAATTTCAGCCAAAAAATTTTATTTTTAAATAATGGTGGCAACTCTGATTTATACACATGCATATATATAATTAAACATAGCTACTTAAAGGAATTTTGTATTGTACATAGCTACTTAAAAAGTTTGTATTGCAAATGTTATAAAATTTTAAATTATTTTTATTTGCATAAAATTTTAATTATTTTTTTAATTTCTTAGATAATTAATTACACTATACAATTTATTAATTTTTACTATGTTTTCATTTTTTAGTTTTTTCAAAAAGTTTACAATCTGCAAAACATTTAAATAAGTGTTATCAAAGTGAATTTCAAAGGTCAAAAGTTTATGCTAAAAAAAGAAGTAAGTAATAATAGTAGAAATTTATGTCATAATACTTAAGTTTGCAAATTAATGATTTTTCTTATCTATGTCTATTTATCAACCAAACCTTTGTTTATGTACATATTTACATAGTGTTTTTGTAAGTTATAAATCCCATAATTTTAATTAGTATAGTTTTATTAGTAATGTTTCACAGAAACCAGAACTGTCAGTAAATGTGCGTGTACTTGTCATGCCTTTATATTTAAAACTCAGTGAATGAATTGGAAGTAAAAGTTTTTACAGAGTAGTTGCTTTTTATTGAAGGAGACAACAAGAATAAGATCAGACTCCTAATAATTTCTTGTTCCTCAACTAAAATAAGACTTCTTTAATAATTTTTTTTCCTTAAGTAAAAACTTCTTTAGTGGTCTGTAAATGCAAATTTTTCATGATTATATCATATTATTATATTATGTGTTGTAAACTTCTGCTTTTATAAAAGTTGTGATGAAGACAGATAAATTGTTATTTGTTTTTAACAAATATAATAGTAATATATAATTTTTGTGTTTGTTTTTTGGTTTGGTTAACTTTTTTAACCCTGTTTTAACTTACTATAAATTTTTAATAAAAAATTTTGAGCCTGTTTTAAGTTACTGAAAAAAATTAAACTTTAACTATTTTTTTTTAAACCACAAAAATATATTTTCTAAAATCCAGATAAAAGTGTTCAAAAAACCATATTTTCATTAATATAGGTACTTCTCATTATAAAATTTATCAAAACTTACAAGGCCATCCATTGCATTTGTTTTCATCTTGTGGTTAATTAATTAAAACAATAGTAACGTTAACATTTTGGTCTGTCGATGACAGTTGATTACAGTTGATGATGATTGATGACATTTGATGACTTTTTGATGATGTCTGATGATTAATTTAGAAGTAACAACATGCATTTGAAGATTTTGTTAGAAAAGTTATGTACTCTACATACTTTTTGCAATAAATTTATTTATAGGCATTTAGTTTAACTAATAGGAAAAGTAGATATTATTTTTAAAATTTATAACACTTAGATTCTACAATACTTTTTATCAATTATGGCAAATATGTAAGTATGTGGAATTCTTAATTTAATTAAGTTTATTATCTTGATTTTTATTGTAAGTTTTTTTATTTATTTTAATTTGTTTATTTTCAATATTCCTTTTTTTTTTTTTTATTTCTGAATCTTAAATTTCTTATATTTAGTGTCAAGAAATAAATTGACTTCTGGTGAACTGATTTCAAAATGTTGTGGTAAAACAAGCTATAAAATTGGAAGTAATTGGTTGCAATGGGGAAGACATCTTGGCTTAAGTGATTCAGATCTCGATAATATTGGCTCTGATAATGCGAAAAATTATGAGAAAGCTGATAATGTGTTAAAAAAGTGGAAGGAAAAAAACGGCAATACTTCATGGGAGCAACTAAAAAAAGAGTTGATAGCTTTTGAGCGTTATGATATAGTAGTTGAAATTGAGAAAGAATTTGGAGGTAAGATTAAATAAACAGTAATAATAGTTTTTCTTTTTTCTTTTTTGTTAGTGGATTTTTCTCAATTTCAACATATCAAAAAATGTTTTTTTTATTTTTTTTCTTAAATTTCTTTATGGTTTTTTTAATTAAAAATAATAATTTATTAAATTTTAGATGAGTTATTTAGTCAAGAAAAAAAAAGGTAACTAAATATCTTCAATTATTTATATAATATTATATTTTATTTACTATATGATAATAATTACATCATTTTATTTTCTGAACTACCCTAATGTGCGTATATATATATATATATATATATATATATATATATATATATATATATATATATATATATATATATATATATATATATATATATATATATATATATATATATATATGTATATATATATATATTTATATGTATATATATATATATATATATATATATATATATATATATATATACATATATACATATATTGATATATATATATATATATATATATATATATATATATATATATATATATATATATATATATATATATATATATATATATATATATATATATATATATATATTAGGGTGGTTCAGGAAATAAAATGATTTCAAATTTTTGAGGCACATGCATTTTTTTGCTTCTTTTGCTTCGTAAATACACCACAAAAAATTTAAAGAACATCTAACTATATTTACAAGAACATCGAACAATATTAATCTGCCTCATTGATCTCAAAATATCAGCATTTTTAGTAATTTTTAAGAATATTCCAAAAAAATAATTTTTTTTTATTAACATAAACAATATGTAACAAACTTTATATTTTTACAGTAAATTAAAACGAAGGTTTATTTAATACTTTTCCATTAAAACTGTTCAGTTTTCACTCTTTGTTCTATGTGTTCAGTTAACTGTTTAGTTACAACCAACATCTGAAAGTAACGTTGATTTCTTTGGATATATATGCAGTGGTTAGAGCGATTCCTTTTTCTGCACTCTCATTGATAACTTTTAGTGTCTCAGTGGTTTTCTTTGCGACTTGATAGTTTGAAATATCTGACTACTTCTTAACATCCACCTTCAGAAATGACAAGGCATAAAAAGAAACGTGAAGATGGTCCAATGAAATACTCCAGAGGTTTTGCACTCAGATTTTCAGTTCCAGTGTATCAGATTTATTGACAATCGAGTTCTTGAATGTCTGCAATCTGATCTTGCAATTTTGCAACTAAGAGTTTTTTTGTCATAACAGGCACCAGATCAGATAACAGACCAAGCAATGCTAGTCCTTCTCCAAGATACCATAAATGGCGACTCACTGCTTTCAACGCAGTTGTTGAGATGTACTTTTGTTGACAACTATTGATGTAGAACTGTACTTTGTTAAGCTTTTTATGAGAATTAAATTGTTGAACGGAGCATCACATGAGTATGAGCAAGTTATCCATGCTTTTACATATATAAGAGCAACAAACAATCCAAGTTCCAACCACCCTGAACTTTCACGTTTGGTGAGCTTAAATTGAGTTTGAAATAAGAAATTTTAGAAAACATAAATTATTTTAGACATCAACCTCATGTAGTGAAAAGCACCAGGAACTCGGCGTTGTACTCAAAGCTGTACTCCTCCAGGAGAAATATCTCCAAGAAAGATCAAAGTAAGTTTCAAAAGTTCATGATAATCTTCTCTGCGTAAATTTCCTGCCTTTTCATTCAACTACCTCTCTCTTCAATACTTTGAGTTCTTCATTTAAACAATGATTGGTGCAAACTGCATATGTTTCTTGGTCTATGTTTGGCCAATATTCCTGCATAATGTTCGCATAATTTTGAAAATAATGCTTCAATTAGCTTCTTCTAATGCTACTACGAGATATTGATATATCACTATCACCATACGTTTTGATGGCTGCTATTAAGATACATGCTGCTTTTTTGTCACATTTTTATGATCAAGTGCAGATGTAAATGCTGAAGGAATAACATCTAAAGCAGATACCTTTGCACGTTTAGAAATTGATGGAGATTATTCCTGACAATTTTCCTCAACAAAATTGTTATGTTATTGAACCATATAGTCTTTATCTCTAGATATAAGGTTGTCTGCTTTGCTTGAACTATTTGATGATGACAATAATTCTTTTTCTATTTCCAGACATTCTTTGGAATTTTTGCTTACTCTCCTCTTCTTTGATACCACATTAAACTATTTTTTTTGCATTTTTAATTCTTCTTTTCCTTAAAAAATTCTATCTAAACCTCCCATGGCATATTTTCATTCTGAACGTTGGTCTGCAAGAAATATTTGATTTTTTTCTATTTTTATTGGCTTTTCTGAGTTCCAAAAAATTTCTTCTTTTACCTGCTGTGCTGGCCCACTACGAATCTTGTTCTTTCAAATATTTCTGTATCTTTCAGTAGTTGGAAATTCAGCTTTGGTACAGATCTCACACAACTACAGTTTGTATACATATTTTATAGTATGACTGTTCTTTTTATTACGGAAAAAATATATTCATAAAACTTCCAAACTTGTGGATCTTGTATCAACTGTTATTGCTGTCTGCCAATCACCACTTGGTTTACATTAGTTCTATAATCTAATTTTTGAGAACTTATAAGTAAGTAAAATAGAAATGTTTTGCATTATTTCATTTATTTTAAATTTGTTTTAACATTGCTGTAGTCAAGATTTCACCATTTTGTTTGTTTTGTTTTCATTTGTGATCTATCATCTTTGGTAATTAATAAGTAAATAAATACGAAATACAAGTAAATTCTGTGCAATAAGTAAATAAACACTAAATACATTAATAAGTAAATAAATACTAAATACAAATATATATATATATATATATATATATATATATATATATATATATATATTCATATATATATATATATATACAGTAATTAATATGTTTTTTTGAAATATATCTCATATTAATTTTTTTTAGACTACATACTTAACTAATTAATAAAATGCCACCGAAAAAAAAGTTAAAAGTATTAGATTGGATAAAATATTTTTTGTTAAAAAGTTAATCAAAAACTTCCAGCAAAAAAACTTGAAACAGCTAAAGAAATAATTCAATTTTATCTGTTTCTACGAAAATCAAAGTGTGAAGAAAAAGTAAAATTCTTAGTAGGTTGTCCTACCAAAAGTTCTCCTTTTATACCTAATTGTCCAGTTGATCATTTCGACTGCTGCATACTGTCCAAACTTAATAAATCCACTGGCTCCTTGCATACTTAACCCCTTTGTGGATTTAAAGTACAAAAGCTATAGTAATATTTTTAATGATGTCTAAATTATTATAATCCATATTTATTCTATAATTATCCTGTTAAGCAATATTTTTACAGAGTTAAAATTGAGAAATTGTTGAAAAAGTGGATGAAATTAAAAGATCAAAGATACAGAACAAATCCTGCTGAAATAAAAAAAAAGACATTTGTTTGAAAAGCAAATCCTCACGTTATCCTCATGTTATGTTTGAAGAATATTAAAAGATAAAATATGAAAAGTGAAAGGTATAGAGAAAGATGTTGCTTTCTGAAAAGACCAGCTTAGTGAAAGTAAAGGATGTCTGGGTTGTAGAGATAGAGATATGAGTACTCAGTAGTAAGAAGTAAAAGATGCTCATCAAAGTTAAATAAAAATCCATCAGCAGAATTTTTAAGAATGATTTAGATTATTAAAGTTCTTCTAGTTACACTAGCGTCGAATTAGGGGAGGAAACAGATATTGAATTTGATTTTAATGTTTATTCGAATGTTCAAAATTCTGTTCTTCTTTCTGAAAATATTCTTTAGTCAACCGCTAATACAACAGGAGAAGGTATAACACCCTACCAACATACAGTATTGATTACAAGTGTTATTGTTATGGCTGGTTTTTCTGCATCAAACTTTAATTGTTCTAAATCCACATCTTATAGAGCTACAGAGAATATATCAGTTAAGGCTAAAGAAATAAAAGAAAACATAAAATTACTGTAATATCATCAGATTCACTAATGACTATATACTTTGATGGAAAAATAGTTAATAAATTAACAGAGGGAAAGCATATTTAAAAAAGAGAGGATTGCAGTTTTGGTAAGGATTGATTCGAAAATAGAACTACTTGGCGTTCCTCCAATAAATTTTAATTTAAGGTTCATCAAAAGCAAACTATTTTAGAATTGATAGAGTTTTTTGTATTAAAAGATAAGGTTAAATGTCTCTGTTTTGACACAACTTTAGCAAATACAGGAAGATGGTAAAGTACTTGCATGAGAATAATTCAACAAATTTATAATAAATCTAAAAGCTCTTACGACAAAAATATAAGAAAAAAATACCATAGCTAGCTGAACTTACTTTAATGTTTCTATCATCAAATAGGTATAAATTTCATTTACCGGGACCAGTTCACCATTCGAGATTTATTGAAAAAGGTGTATGCTACTTAAAAATGTAACTATTAAGGAATGACATCTAAAACCTGACTGACAAACATAACGAATAAATAACTGGTATGGCTTTGTTTATTTGTCTTTTCTATACAGATTAGTTTCTAAAAGCAGAGTTGAGTTCTTTTGCCCCAATACAGGTATCAGTCTTTTAGTACTTTTTTTAATAAGTTCATTTAAATTTTTAATAAAGCACAATATTGATTAAGTAGTTCAAAATATAAATCAATGTTATTTATTAGGATATAAAGTTTGAGGAAAGGAGTCTATTTGGCTCTCAAGCTGTTTCAAGCTCTATTCTCAGACATACTTGGTATCTAGATCCCACTTTAGTAATTTTTGCCCTAGCAGATAAAGAATATAGGGGTACTTTAGTATTAATGCCCTAGCAGATAAAAAATGTAGGAAAAAAATGTATAGTTTACAAAGATGTCCAAGTGACTGTTTTCCTTTGGAGCGCCAGGTAATGGACCAAGCTATACTAAATAGCCTAAACTTCAGTTTAGGCTATTTAGTAGACGACCCTCTTAGCTTAACGCCATCAATAACTGAAAAGTCTTGGCTAGTTTTTGACATGCTTAGGCATCGAAAAGCAGAAATTCAATGGAGGAAAACTCCATCAGAATTTCGGAAATTTAACAATATTTATCTAGAATTTAGAAAAACAATTAAGGAACTTGATATTGTTAATCAATGTTCTGAAAGGGCAGTTAAGTTGGTTCAAGGTCTAAATTAGA